TCTCCCACAACCGAAAGAGGTTTTCAGTGTTGTCACATACCTGGCATTGGAAGTCTTATAACTGACCCGGGGCCTGTACCATGAAGCCGGTATAGGTGGATAGCCAGGTGTGTTTAGGTGGTGTTAAAGTTGTTTGGTGTTTAGCGTGTTCATCGCCATAGTAACTCACACGCCACGGCTGACCTGGCCCGGTCAGGTGATGCTCATGGTGAGAGGTTGCAAACCGAACGAGGACCAATCAGCTGTGAGCAAAATGTCACATGTCTGGCGGGATAAAGTCACTCCACATGTTTCCACTCCACATTGATGATTTTTTAATGCTAAATCGTCTGGCTTTTAGTAATGCTTATTTAGAATAATAAATTTGTATGATTTAGAAATTATTTATGCAGTTATTATACCCTTAATCGATCACACGTACAATTTTAGTTATTATGCAGATTTTAAAGGAATAACTATATAAAAGGTACTATAAATATGCTTTAGAATCAATAGATGATGCTATAAAATTACTACATGTTCAATTCACATTTGGCTAAGCCCCGCCCCCCTTAGTTACTGTTGCTATATCTGTCAAACTTCATCTGCGCTCTGCATGGCTTATGCTGTAACAGCTCTTCCTGCTGAAATGTTATCAAACTTTTATAAAGCAGCAAATAAAGTGTCCGATAGAAGTAGGCAAAAGGGGCTGCAATATGCGTTCGAAGGCTATATTCAAGACATACAGGTGAAACGCAAGAAACAACAAGGCATCCAAATAGAGGCAAAGCGGCAAAAGCATAACGTTACCGGTCACAGTCAAAAAATGAACCACCGCATTTCCTACTAATCGAGACGGAGGCTGGGACTAGCAATATCAGGGAGCAACACTGTTCATGCAAAGCTGGGTAGGTCTTTATTCACTTCTATTATCGTTATTACAAAGCAAACGGACTACACATGTACTGTATAACGTTGTATTTATTAGCAGCGTGTGCTAGCATATCAACAACCGGTATGAGAACCGAAATCATAACCTAAAACATTATAAAACGGTCTAACTAGTATAACTTCACACTCACAGTAAGGTTAGAAGTAAAAAAAGATGTGATTGTTGATCTTTGCGGGGTTTAGCTGACTGAGAACGTCCATACAGTTTAATCCAAACACGACACTTGTCACTGTCAGGATTTAACTTCTGTTTTGGGAAGGGAAAAAACGGACACCCCCCTCCAACCTCTCTGGGAAACGCGTATCTGTGTTGCAAATGCCCGAGGCACAACGTGTAACCATATTTTGGATAAAACTTCGACGGTAATAGCCTGCCGAGACCAAAAATATGAGACGCCTGTGTGGAAAGTCAATGGAGCGCTGTGAAAAAGTGTCAGACCTCTGTGGGAGCTCATTCTTGGCTGCGCTGTGATTGGTCAATCTACATTCTAGGGCGTGGCTTAGCCAAAGGCGAATTCTCTCTCTACCTTTATCAACTAACTTCACTGATATAGTTTCTTTTAGTTGTCCTTAGACAGCTATTTTCCTTTTGCTGGGTAAATTTGTTTAAATTCTTCATATTTTAAGACTTTTATTAATAAGTGAATTGCGCTGCTTCTCTCGCGTTTTGAATGAGTTTCACTCTTTCTCACCGTGTGATTGGCTGTTCACTACTGATGATGTCGCACCTAAACTCAGTAAAAAGCCTGAGCTCACAGAGAGCGTTGATGATCAGCGTCATGATACCAACAAAGCCTGGCTGAATTGGTTTGTTTTTGTCAAGTGGAACCTGGAAACTAATCCTGCAACCTAACCCGTCATGGCATGGGCCCTTTCTTTTCGGCACGGGCCCCTGGTGTACAGATACAAGTACCATTTATTTAGATAAAACAACACAAAAAAGCACACCAGTTCATGAATGAACATCCAGTTATCTATAATGTCAAACAACAGCTGATTACTAAACAGGCATTAATGGTTGCGTCTTCATAACCCTGCTGTGCCGAGGCTCATGGGATTGACGTCTCTTTGAAATCCAGCCCAGAGTTCATTGTCTCCTAGCTTCAGTCGTTCGCTCTTATCTTCTGTATATTACACAGAATGAGAGCACCTTCTCCCCAGACGACACCTACGCTATCAGAAATATGTGCTTAACTCATTTACCAAGGCACTCGCTGCCTCTGTCTTTGTAATTACTGCAGATTAGGGACTAATATCTAATTATGCCTTAATATGCTTTAATGCAGTTTTAATGACAGCTTGGCGTTTCAGTCAAACTCTCTGAGCGATTCGGGAGAATCTGAAAAGGTTTATCTTACTACGCTGTTGAAACGAAACACACCACACTTAGTGGTAAATAATGAGGTAGTAATTGTATGCAACTTAAAGCTGTATTTGTGGCTGTGTGGACTGATAATGTATGAAAGAGTTTGCAAATCCTTCTGAATTTCAGGTCATGATTATAAATCAATACCAATTCCAGAGGCTTCACATAATTGCATATTAAAACGAAAATAACCAAAACTGAAATAATTTCTAAAAATATATGGGAATATTAAAAAACGAAAAGTATAAAAAAACAAAGCACAATTACTAAAACTTTTAATTAATAATTAAAACAGAAAATAGACAAATAATATATTATTCATATAACTGCACATCCATTGAAGTAAAAAAATAAAATAAAAAGTAATACTAATTAAAAAAAATGAAAAAAAAAAAATTAACAAAAAAGATTGCATGGTGAAAATCAGCTATATATATAATCAATTAAAATAGAAATAAAAATAAATCTATAAAATGGCACACAATAACTTCAATGTAAGGTTTAATCTGAGGATAATAAAATAAGTGGTTTTAGCATATCATATGACAAGCCAATGTGAGTGTGTGTGTGTGTGTGTTTAACCGTGTTGTCTCAGTTTACTACGGTGAAACGTGTTGCACTACGCATGGTTTGACCAGACATGATGCAAATTGCTTTGTGCCTCTAATTGGTAAGGCCTGATGTTTATGAACAGATTCCTGTTAATTAATCCCAGATCATCAAATCAAGCAGCTTTCATATTTTATTCATAAATAATGGATAATTGGATCTTGCATTACCTTAACACAAACTGCATTCACAATCCAAAAGATCAACTACTATATCATTATATATCACACACACACACACACACACACACACACACACACACACACACACACACAATATAATTATAATATAATAATAACAAATATAATTGGGGTTACTTAGAACTAACTAGAGTTTGTTAACTAAAAAAAATCATTCAGTTTAACTTGATGTACTAAAAAAAATCAATACAAACTATAGATAGGCTACATTATTTTAAAAACGTATTAAAAAATGACAAAAACAACAACTTTACTAAAACTAACTGAAATAAAAACAGAAAATATAAACAAGTATATATACGCAAGTTATTTTAGTTTCATTAAGGTACTATTATTAATAAAATATTATATAATATGCAGCTGTAGGGGTAAATAAAGTATGTTGCTTTCATTAGAATGTGAAGCCTGTATATGCATGTAATTTATCTCTCTAACGCTTCTTGAAGTGCGAACACATTAAAACACAATACAACATGAATAACAGCGGTACAGTCATCCATCTCTGACTTACTGTAGGTCACACGACATTAAAGACATTGTCTTACACACACACACACACAAACACGCACACACAGCTCTATCTCTTTCTCACACACACGGGACCACAATGGAAATAAGCCCTAGGGCTTTATTGTGTTATCCTGACTTTGTTTTTGTTTCTTTTAAAATATGGTGCAAAGATCTATCGTATTTTAAAGGGGTCATAATGCCATTTTGTACAAGTTAATATGAATGTTTCGGGTCGAAATGAAAACTTTGTAATATACTTTTATTAAAAATTCTCATAAGTATTTTAAGAAAACACTAATTTTACCTGGTCAAAATCAGCTCTGTTTTCAGCACGAAGTTTCAGCGCACGTGCCTTTAAATGATAATGAGCTTCGCTAACTCCTCCCCTCTGTTCTGCGGGCGTTTGACACAACACATGTGGAGTGTTCCCTTGACAACAGTTGAGGGTGTATTTTGGAGAGAGAACGGCAGCGGGAGTCTCTAGGGACACATCTGTGCAACCGTATCAGTTTGAACCGGAGTCGCACCCGGAACAAGATGACGGCCCGAAATAGTTCGACAATTAAGGCTCGAACAGGACGATTCTGAATGGTTGCTTAACATGATGTCACATTGATCTATCTTTGTATGTACAGGCAGGTGTAGAGTAGTGAGATATGAATGCTGTGTGTTAACTGATGTATACATTAGTTCATTGACAGATTGATGTTCCAACTAATGGTCATTAAAAAACATTTTCCCTCGATTTGCAAAGATTAATATAAAGGTTAATAAAACTTTACACTCCCTTCTTCTGGAGGTGCAGAGGGAACATACATAGTTGGTAGGCTACTGATAATTTTTTTGAGGAGCAGCTTGACCCTCGTTTATAAAGAAGTCTACGATAAATTATTTGCAAAAACATAAAAGCATTGACGTTGATCGTGGGGAATATTCCCACCGTAAACAACAACCGTGGGAGGGGCGTCACGTGCCGTCACACGGCTCAATTTGAGACAGATGAATACATATACATAAGGAGATTAAAACAAAAACACTGGATGGATTTTTATCATTACAGGATGGTTGTGTACAGGCACTGCCAACACACATTGCAGTACAATCAACGTGTAAAAGTGCATGTACCATTATATGACCCCTTTAAACAAAAGCGTCAAATAAAATCAATCAATCTTTCAATCAATCAATCAATCAATCAATCAATCACACAGCTCTGTCACACACACAGCTGAGCTAATAATCATCTTGGTGGAGCCGGTAGCAATTAATGACAGTGTTGTCATGAATGTCCCTCTATGAGTGTGAGAGAGCTGTTTGTGTGTGAGCTGTGGGTATTTGACCTTGGAAAAGGTCATGATCAGACTGACAGGTGTGTGTGTGTTTACCGGTGATGTCGTGCAGCTTGAAGGAGTCGCTGTACACCTGGTGTTGATTGGGACAGTGCTTCTTCAGCCACTTACACACGTCCTGCTGCGTCCACAGAGCCACCGGCTTCGACAGCTTCACCGTTCCCGGCTGGGACACACAACAATCAGGCAGAACAGATAAGACTCACACTTTTATGGTCACCATGAAATACAAACTGACAATTCTTGTTTATTTTATTTTTTTTTTATTAGAATATTGTGTTTTTTTTTATCATGAATGATTTATCCGTGCACATCATTACTCTGCACAGTCAATCTTGAATCAGATTAACTTCCCCTCATCTCATCTTTTCTCTGATGATGTGGGCGGGGCCACCTGTCAATCAAATGAGATCAACCAATAGCAAACCACAACCATCCAATCAAATCCCCACCCGACACAATCAAGCCCCGCCCACATTTGTTCTCGTTCCAGAAGCGTTTCACTCATAAATACATCACAATAGAGAAGATAACTGCAGACTCATGTCAACTTCAAAAGAATAGTTCAGCTAGTCTTCATTTGCTCCTTCATGATGTTTTTAAACCTGCTTTACTTTTTTTATGTAGAAAATAAAGGGAGAAATTTCAGTAAGTCTAAACTGGTTGGTCTTTTCATGAAATTATAATAAAAGAAGTACTGAAGCATTTGAGATTCAGAGTGATCCTGGTGAGAAATACAAATTGAATAAGTCATTCGTTAGAATTAAATCACTCTCAGAAAAAAGGTTCAATGCGGTTCTATACAGAAGTCTATGGTTCTATAAGAGGAGAAATGTTTTCATTAAACATTCACGTCTTTTTTTTCTATTGATAAAGTATGTTTTCAAGCGGTTTAATTTATAAACTTAAGTAAAACCATATAAAAGTATCCAATGACAGGTTATATATACGAAGCACCTGAAGGAACCCTTCAAAATTCCCCTGAGGTTTAATGTCGTTTATATGTGTTTTTAATGTGCTTTAAGTCAAACCATGTGTAAATTCATAAGTCGACAACATTGCTGAGTATTTCCTCCTTAAAACTGCAGTGAACCAAAAACAGTCTCAAAGACACTGTTTGAAATCGCTGGTGTTTCTGACATCACAAACGACCTTGTAACCAATCAGATCAACGTGTGCTCGTCAACCAGTGGATCTCTGAGTGAGTGTGTGAGTGAGTGGAGGCGGGGCTCATTTGCATATAGATCTGCTTATACTTAACGAGGCAAGGGTGTCGAGTTACATTCAAGATATTTTAAGGCATGAAGAAAAAAAAACATATGTCATTTTGGTCATCAAAGATGAGTTTTAAGGGATACAGTTATTGACTACAGAGCGACTATGATTCTATATAGAACCGTTTCTTCAATATCTGACAGATGAATGAATCAGATCCTTTCAGTGAATTGGTCAAATGACTCATTTACAAATGTTCTGGTTCTTACGTTCAACTCAATGATTATGAGTGATTCACTTTCACTTGATAGCTGGTAGTGACTTACCATTTTTTTGGAGCTTTTGAGACTTTTCTTAACTTAAATGCTTCAGTTATTCATTGCACTTATGTTGAAAAATAGTCCACAGTATTCACACAGGTTTGGAACAACATGATGGTGTATAAATAATTACAAAATCCCATTTTTGCGTGAATGTGATGATGGCCTGCAGATTGAATGCCACTGCTTGGCCTTTGAGTGCGTTGTGAGTGTGAGCTTTCTTTAATTCAGCTCAGAGAAACACACACACACACCGAGTCAGAGAAACACACACACACTGAGTCAGTAGAACTGCTTTCAGTGGGGCGAGAGTCACAGCAGCCGGATA